TTGGCATTCTGTGGGCTTTGTAGGAATCCTGTAATAATCAAAGGGAAACTTAAACTCAGTGTCATCTGCATTCCTCTGCAAGCATATGCCAGTAAAAAAAAAAACCCTCTGGGGCCTGCCTGCAAGACCATGCTGCTTCAATTAGCCCTTGAGAAGCCTCTGAACATGTAGGGATAAACACAGCGAGTGTGTGCGTTATATCGATGTTATCGCTGTTTAATCCATAATGTGTTTATGCTGCTGTAAACGGTGCGTGGTGCTGTAGGGAACAATCCTTGAAGTGAACGCTGGACTCAGGACAGGTAAACTGGAATAATAAGTGAAAAAGTCAGACAGCCGATGCAAAAGGCGATGTTTTTATTTTAATGGTGCTTCACAGACACTGCTCAAGTTTATGCAGATGGAAGCAGAGATGCGGATTCAATGCTGTGTATGCTTCAAGTAAAAAAATAAAATAAAATAAAATGGGAGTAAATGCTTAACGCAACAGCTAAATGTAACTAATAGGGGATGATGCAACTGTGCCACATTCTGCCACTAAAACAGTTACATGGTAGCTATACTTGTTTGTGGAATCGCACAGTGCATATAGTTCACATTCTTTCCCAGAATAGTTGCCAAACTGGCCCCCACAAGCAACTGGCTGGGAAGGCCCATCAACCTAATAAGATGTCACCCTTATCGATCTCTTTTAAGATAAATAAATAACATCCAGCAGGAAAGTCGATCAGTCTGATTCACAGTGTAAACCACTCTTTTCCTGGTTGGTCCAGCGTGGTCATCTTTACACACACGTGTTCTGGACTCCTTTTCCGATCTCATGACACTGCAGCCTTTGCACTCTGCTTCTTCTTAGCCAGCTCGACCTGAATTTGATGGGGAAACTGGTCCAAGTGCTTGTTCACACATGGCACGCAGAACCTCTTGGTGTAGAAAAGGCTGCAGTCCTAACAAAGTGAGAAGGAAATAGAAATGAAAAAAGTTCAGCATTTGGCTCTCCATGTTTGCATAAGTAAAGTCCACAAGGTAGTGGGTGCCACTACTCTTTGGACTTTATTTATTTTCACCATCCACTTGTAAGACTGAATATTGATTGCAAGAGATTTAGAACCATGAAGCCCACTCAGCATTTCAGCCACATGATCGGAGAGTCATCTGAGCAAAATATCAAAACCACAGACATGCATCTGCAAGTGGAAAATTATGACAAAACCACAGGGTTTAAAATCCAAAAAGGACGTTCGGCCCACAGCTGAGGACAGTCCTCCTGGTTGAGTTTGTTCAAGGTTCTTTATTTGTCACCTTGAACCCTGTCTGCAGCTTAGCAACACGGTTTAATATGGATGAGATTAAATGATAGGAAAATATTCTGACCATATGATGAGACATCTTACCGATCCAACACAGACACAAGTGCCACAAAGGCTGCAAATGGACCCCAAAACTAGAAACTTCTCCCTGTCCGGACTGAAGGGGTCCTTGGTGATAAAACACTCCTCAAGCAGCCTGACGAACGACAGACAACAACACACATGCTTAACTCTGGCCCATCTTTAATTCATGAAGGGCACATGTACATAGTTCAAGCCTTATTCTGCTGCAAGTGCAGTCTAGTCACCGCTGGGCACTTTATTTCTCTCCGTGTTCAACGCAGCATGCAGTTAGTTACATAGCGGCTAACAACATTAGCGTTAGCCTTGCTAACACCAGAGCTCTAAAAATGGTACGGGTTGTTTTTTTGTTTGTTTGTTTTTTGCTTCATTTTCACTTACACGATAGCTCTGGTGTTAGGCGGTTTCTGTCCGTAGTAAGTAAAGGGGCTAGTTAAACTGCACAACTGGCACGTAAATGTTTTTTGAGGGTTATCACTAGCAGCCTTTTCCTCCATCGCTCACAGCAGAAAGTCAGTTCCTGGTTTTCTCTTCCAGTCCGTCAGTGTTGTTTCGTGAAGCTTTACCGCCACCGACTGGACTGGAGCGGTAAGACAACCAAAAGTATTACAATATGACGGCGCTGTAAAGCGATAATAATGTGGTTACAACGATTATAACAGCGTCACTTGTATTTTAAAAATTACATAGAGAGAGCTGTAAAATATGTGACTTTGAATACTGCACTGTTAAGCAGTTTAATTTAATAATATTTGAATGACTAATTGATAGCATGAATAGCAAAAAGTACTTTTCCTACAGTCAAAATGTAAGTCCAGTAGGTGAAAGTTTTTATTTTATTTATGTATTTCTTTTTTATTTTTATTTCTAGCCAATGAAATAATAATTTAATCATAATTTATTTCAGACAAACGAAATGTGAAAGCTTGTTTTCACCACTGAAAGGGGAAAATGGCAGGAAGAGCTAAGTCAAAATATCAAGTTAATATCTCAGATTTTTGACTTGTTGACTTAAACTTCTGAGTAAGTACAGGGTGGGCCAGTTATATGGATACACCGTAATAAAACGGGAATGGTTGGTGACATTAAAGTCCTGTTTGTGGCACATTAGTATATGTGAGGGGCAAACTCCTCAAGATGGGTGGTGACCATGGTGGCCACTTAGAAGTCGGCCATCTTGGATACAACTTTTGTTTTTTCAATAGGAAGAGGGCCATGTGACACATCAAACGTATTGGTAATGTCACAAGAAAAACAATGATGTGCTTGGTTTCAACGTAACTTTATTTTTTCATGAGTTATTTACAAGTTTCTGACCACTTATAAAATGTGTTCAATGTGCTGCTCATTGTGTTGGATTGTCAATGCAACCCTCTTCTCCCACTCTTCACACACTGATAGCAACACCGCAAGAGAAATGCCAGCAGGCATCCAGTATCCGTAGTTTCAGGTGCTGCACATCTCGTATCTTCACACCATAGACAATTACCTTCAGATGACCCCAAAGATAAAAGTCTAAGGGGGTCAGATCGGGAGACCTTGGGGGCCATTCAACTGGCCCACGATGACCAATCCACTTTCTAGGAAACTGTTCATCTAGGAATGCTCGGACCTCGCACCCATAATGTGGTGATGCACCATCTTGCTGGAAAAACTCAGGGAACGTGCCAGCTTCAGTGCATAAAGAGGGAAACACATCATCATGTAGCAATTTCAAATATCCAGCAGCCTTGAGGTTTCCATTGATGAAGAATGCACCCACTATCGTTGTACCCCATATACCACACCAAACCATCACTTTTGTTGTTCCAACAGTCTTGGAGGGATCCATCCAATGTGGGTTAGTGTCAGACCAATAGCGGTGGTTTTGTTTGTTAACTTCACCATTCACATAAAAGTTTGCCTCATCACTGAACAAAATCTTCTGCGTGAACTGAGGGTCCTGTTCCAATTTTTGTTTTGCCCATTCCGCAAATTCTGTGCGCCGATCTGGAGTTTGTCCCCTCACATATACTAATGTGCCACAAACAGGACTTTAATATCACCAACCATTCCCGTTTTATTACGGTGTATCCATATAAATAGCCCACCCTGTACTTACTCACTTTACTTTAAGCACGTCTTTTATCCTGTCTTCCTCTCCTCACCCTAACCGGGCCTGGCGGTGCTGGAGGTTTCTTCCTGTTAAAAGGGAGTTTTTCCTTCCCACTGTTGCCAAAGTACTTGTTCATATGATTGTTGGGTTTTTCTCTGTATGTATTATTGTAGGGTCTACCTTACAATATAAAGCACCTCGAGGCGACTGTTGTTGTGATTTGGCGCTGTATAAATAAAATTGAATTGAATTAAAAGTCAAAATTTATACATAATACCTCAGAATTTGATTTACCAACAATGAAGAAAAAAATGAAATAAATCACAGAAACAAGCTTCCACCATAAAGAGTTTGGTGTATGTTCTGAAGTGCTGATGGCTTCATTTAGAAAGTGATGTTAAATAGATTAGTTTATTTCAGACTACAACACATTTAACATCAACAGCATGTTTACACATATATATATAAAAGATAAAATGTTTCATTATGACCTACAACAACTTCGCAATGCTACATCGCGGTTCAGAGTCCAAGTACAGAAAAATAAGGTGATCAGCTCCTCTTTTTGAGGCCTGCAAATACACACGTCCCTTACACCGAGGTTAAGGTAGTCTTGTTATATTTCCAAAACACAACACAAGCTAATTAACAGATTATTTTGTTTGTATTGGAAATATAAAGTACTGGCTGTTAGCACATTTTTCTCCTTGAGATTTAGTTTTACATAATGGCAGGATTTGTACATAAACATGTACTCTGTAACACTGAAAATCGGAATTAAAAGAAAAAAAAAGTGAGCTATCACGCTGTGTTGGCTTTTAACAGCAGGGCAGAGGATGAATAAAAAAATGACACATCAAATAACAGATTATTGCCTGCGGGAGAAGTAAGGCTAATTATCTGTTATGTGTTGGAGGCAGAAGCTGTGCCCAAAACAGGAGAAACCTGAACTCGTGCAGCAAGTAACGATGACACTTGATCAGTTCTCTGCGAGTTGTCAAGGTAGTCAAAGCAAACGTGCCACAAGTACGCAGTAACAGAACAAGAAAATGACATAAACCACATCCAGAGGGCCCTAATCTGTTATGTTCACAGGCATAGTTATCCTCAGTGTACGCACGCATGAGGTCAGCAGTCATACCCAGGTATATTTTTGATATGTGTACATAAATTTCTTTGCACAATATGCTAATATGCACAGCCTGCTTCAGAGTCACTTTTCTTCACATGTGTAAAAGCTGGCATCCAAGGCACTCAGCTCCAAGACATTCTGGTGCTGCTGGTCAACAAAATTAACCCTTTAATGATACCTCTGCACATCTATGGTTTAAAAAAAACGCTCCCTTTCCACTGTGCGACCTCTTAATGAAGTGGAAGCAGTCACTTTCCCAACAAAAGCTGCCTCCCCCCTCCTTAAAAAAAGATTTTTGTTTTGCTCCGGTTTGTGCAGCAGCCTCAGAAGCTGCATTGCTGTTCCTTCCTGTACATTCATATGCATTTCTCAGTTCATATACTCAGTACATGTCCCTGTATATTTCTTGCAGCAGCGGGTGCAGGGAAGTATCCTCTGTCGTCTTGATTTCTTGCACCAGCTGAGCATGCTCAGTGACCAGCTCCCGGAGGTCAGCCAACTTCTGCAGCAGCCTGGGGAAAAGGAAGGTGTCATCTGGGTGATTGGCCAGCAGGTGGAGCCGCAGCGCCTGAACAATGCTTTCCTGCAACTGCTCTACTACAGGTACGTCTACCAGGCCTGGACGATCTTTGGGAGCAGTGGGGGAGGACAAGATAATGAAGAAGGAAAATTCAAATATGTCTTTTTCTCTTTTAAATTATTATTCTACCACCTATTATCGGCCTTTTACCTCCACAGCAGATAATAGCAGCCACAAAAAGAGCTAGGTCGCTGTCGTCCAGCTCCAGAGAGTTGAAGCGTGTGGCAAACTGGAATTTGGGCTCCATCATGTCACTGAATGGTCGGCGGAGACTCTTGAGGAACTCACGGGTGATAAAGCCTCCACCACGGGCCACCAGGAGGCCGTCCTTGTTCATGCACGAGGCCAAGAGTGTGAAGAGGGCTTCGTAAACACCGTACTTCAAGAGAGTCACCTAAAAGGTAAATAGAAAAGCAATAGCATGTGAACACTCATCTGCTCTTCCTTCCACTTCTTACCATAGAAGGCAACCTGAAACCCACCTGATCATTCAAATCCAGACTCTGGAAACCCGGCATAGCCTTGGCAAATTCCGTTAGCTCTGTGACAGTCTCCACTGAGGTGCTCTGGCAGCAGTGGAAGAGCCTGGCTTCGGCCTCCCTCTGCCGAAGCTCCCCGCACGACACAGCCGGACTCACTTGTCCGAGGACGCTGTCAGACTCCGGATAGTCGCTGTTTGTCATATGGACCGCTAACGTTCTCTCCGCCAGCTGGAACGTCTCCATGTCGTGGATGATGAGAGGCTGCTGGGAAATAAAGAATCTGTCGGTGAGGCAGAGGGCAGAGATATAGAGCAGAGAATATTCTCAAACTTTATTTTCCACTTTACCGGCTTGCTAGTTTTTCCAGTGAGTATGAGCCGTGCTTTTGCCTTGTTCATGTTGAAGTTCTTCATGTAGGCATCATGGATCTGCCTGACCAGAAACTTGTGGTCAGACATTAAGGGACTTTCCACATCTTTCTCAACCATCTTGCTTTCCTCCTTCAGCTTCAGTTTTTCTGCCTGGGGCATACGACCAAACCGGATGGCTGGTACATAAAACACTGGTCATTAGAAATTGCCACAGGACTTTCTTTTTTTTTTCCCCCTCACATTGCACAATAAATTGACATATGGAGCCATAAGGCTTATGCTGCCTCAGCAAATATTCAAGGATTCAAGGATTCAAATATGCACTAGTACTCTAAAAAAGAAAGAAAGAAAGAAAGAAAAAGAAAGAAAGAAAGAAAGAAAGAAAGAAAGAAAGAAAATAAATCACGTACAACAAATCTGGTACATCCTGTTCTATTTCTATTCTTCTGAGGCATGCCATGTTCCTCTCATGTTTCTGATGCTGCTAGTGGGAGGTCATCACAACAAACTCAGTGACCCTCCAGACGACGGGCCAGATGTCACAGCAAAAGCATTTTGACTGAAGTAGAGCTAAATTACCGAGGAACGACAACCTGCTGATGTTTTAAAGAGCACATGTTGAGACTGAGGATGTTCAGACTCTTATTGGCAGTTCACGGTGCATCGGGCTAATCACCCTCAAGTTCTTTCACTGCGATGTTTCAGCAGTGCTTTGATCAGAGTAATTTGTTACATACTTGCAACCTTAGTTCCACATATGGGGAAAAGATGTATGATACCAGTTTTTTCCATATCAACAGATGTCGGAGAGGTAGAATCACAATTTTACCCTTTTGGTTAGCTTATAATAGCTAGCTTATGGTAGCTAATGCTCGCAAACTTAGCCTGACCTTTAAGTTTATCACTGGTTGCTTGAGCTTGTTCTCAGATTATATGTTTTACTGTTTACTCTAATCCTGTAACTGTGACTACACTGGCTGATATTTTGCAAACTTTCAACTTTTTCCATTACCGTTGTGGGACATGCCCACAGAGAGGCACTTGTGGAATCTGCAGTACTGGCACTTGTTTCGGTTCTTCTTTTGGATTTTGCAGTTCCGCTCACACTTATCATACTCCAGCTTCAGCCTGATGGTCCTCCTAAAGAAACCCTGATGTGACAGACAGAACAAAAAGACGTTATCACTTAGCTTTCTCAGTGGTCGTCGTTCAACCACACGGCATAAGCAAAAAATGCACAAAACTAACATATATCCATATTTTCTTACCAGATTTCATTTGTACTCTGCAAACCTTTGTACAAACTCTGTTTTTGTCTATTTCCATGTATGCTTGCACACGTTTCATTAAACTGCAGCAGCCTGTTTCCCACTTTCCAAGAAAGATTTAAAGAAATATGGCTCAAGACGTGCATAGTATTACATGTGCAAAGTACATTAATACGCACATATTAGTGAATGGGACCCAGTGCCTTTGCATTAGCACCCTGCTCAGAGTCATGAACAAAACAGTTAACAGTTTGCATATTTTATGCATTTTTGTATTAAATGTGCACCTTTTAAGCTCTGGAAAGATCAATGTTAATATCTTTGGATTTAATTTGAGGGAAATTACACCTGTTCTTGAAGGAAAGGATCTCTGATGTGCAGTAGATTTGACCTTTTTTTTTGAAGAACATCTCTTTTTGGAGGATACGTTATAGCCCTCAGATAAGGCAAGGCGCGTGATATTCTAATGCATACTCCACTTACATCAGTAAAATTTCCAACAGGCCAAATGGTCATTAAAGACATCATCTTACACCTGGCTGAATTTATGCTGAATAGCAGCTATTTTATAATTTTCTTAGTTTTATTATGCGTCATACGCCACTTTTGTGTCAATTTTAAGCAAAAGAATCTCTTTTGTGTGGGTGGAATCAGCCAATAGAAAGCACTGAAGGCCATATTACAGTCATCAGAAATGCATTACATAACATTACAGAGCTGCAGAAGGAGGAAAAACAGATGTGTGTGTTTATGCCATACATGTCCCTGCATGTTTGTGTTTGGGAAAAACAGACACAACCAGAGGCCAGTACTGTGCTGCGATATCTTAGCCGGGAGGCGAGCAGCAAGGCTGACAACATAAACAAAGAGAACGATTGTGCAACGCTTAGGAGCAAAAGTCTCTCTCATTTTTTCAATTTTCTATCACTAAAGGCTTTTCCTGACTCTAATAATATCTCCTTTGCTCTAATGTTTCAGGCCCATTATCACCACAGACTTAAACCCTGGTAGGGCAACATCACAGCGTGTTCACAGTCCCACTGCTCAGTGCGCCTCTCTTTGAAGCGAGGTGCTGAAAATACTCCACAGAGCCCATCCAGCATGGTAACCGCGAACTGTGACTGTGACATATCAGAAGCAAGATTACTGCAGTCAGAGAGTTTAGAAGCAGTGCCGTCAGAGCACGCCCCGTCACATATGCAGTGTCCAACAGTTCAAGGTCATCACGTCCCTGCTTCAGAACAGCTGCTGTGTGACACGGTGATAGGTGTCGTGCCAACGCTGGCAGCCGCTCTGACAGCAAGACTGTGGTGATGAATGAGACGTGTGTCGTAAAACAGAGCCCCCGTGGGCAGCTACAGAGTTAGACAGCAATAGATTATCCACCAGATGCACTTTTTTAGCATTAGAGCCAGCACAGTGATCAACAGTCATTGTTTTTTATCAGAAAACCCCCCCAACCTATGTGCAGATGCAGAAGTAGAGACATGTTTATCGCATTTCCAATCAGTGGCAATGTCGTGGAAAAGCGAAAGATCTTTATTAAAGAGAAGCAAAGCATGAGACGTCAACAGGGAGAAAGGGTCAGAGTTTAAAAACTCATGCAAAAGTAGCAAATAAATCTCAGATTAGCAGCAACAACCTGCGGCCAGCTGTGAGGATGCAATGATCTCATGTGACTGCACAAACAACGCAGCGACCGTCCTCTATGGTTTTTAACACGTGCGCTGGTTACTGAGGCCAGCGGTCTCACTTACCCAATATTCTCAGTGTCGGTGTTTTAAAATAAACTTTTAATCCCTAAATTGTGAAGAATGTCCAAAAACATAGATAAAGGAAAAATGAAAGCAGCAAAAACTACATTTTACTAATCATCAAATCCCAAAAGGGAATATTTAGCAAAGTAGAGCAGTCCACTGTGTCAATAGCTGCTCTGTGTGTTTATAAATGTGCGTGTGTGTATTAATGTCATTGACTTTGGCTCTGTGCCAACCAGGACAGAGGTGACAGGCCTAGCCGTCATGTCCTCTACCCCACATGACTCGGCTGTGTGTCTCAGAAAGTTTCCACTGGTCTCCAGGTCAGGCGCCTCTGCGCTGCCAGGCTTCTGTATGTGTTTTGGTGCTGCGTGCGTTCAGGCATGCACGTCATCTTTTTTTAAACTTTTAGCTGTGCCATTCAAAAGACCCATGAGTTGAACTGTGTTTTCATTACGTTAATATCTTTGCGCTCCTTTAATCGCCTTTCTCGCGCCAAAGTACGCCTGCATGATGCAGTCGATGTGCTCCAGCTGGCTACACGATCCCTGTTTACGTCCCAAGTTTCTTACCTTGCAGCCTTCGCATGCGTGCACCCCGTAGTGGAAGCCCGAAGCTTTGTCAGAGCACACCCGGCACTCGAGGTTGAGGGTGCTGCCGCTCTCATCTTGGCCAGCCGCTGCTCCGCACACTCCTGATGATGGACTCGAGGCTGGGGTCAAGGTCTCTACAGCAGAAAAGATAAAAAAGACAAGAGGTTACAAGTTTTAACATTTGGCATGATTAAGGATCCTGCCCCTGATTCTTTCCACCAAGTTTCTTACCTGTCTCTCTGTACACCAGTGGCACCGATGGGTTGAAGTTGGGGTAGCACTTATGTGAGTAAATATATGTTTTTAAAATTGGGGTCTCAATAATGAGCTTCTAATATTGTCATTTAAAGCCATATTAGGCTCCAAATCTTGACCAAAACAGCAAGGTAGACCAGAGCCCTACAGAAGGTGTTAGATAGCTTTTTAATTCTCTGAGGCATATGTTCTTGGAAACCAATCTCAACTGGTGATGAAGCTACCCCTCATACTCACCCAGTGCGACAGAGCTGTTGGACCCCGAACCAGTGCTCTGGTACTCTGGAAAATCAAACCCCAGTGCGTCATCTCCTATAGACTGGGAGATATCACGAAGATCCTCCATCAGGTCTCCACATAGTGGACTTCCCAGGAGGGAATCCCCCAGTGGGGATGGGGGGCTGTAGTGATCCCCTGCCATGGTAGAGATCAGGGATTCAAACCCTCACTCACCAGACTGTAAAAAAAAAAGAAGGAGATTTTGGATGAGGAAAATGAAGTCTGTGAGTGTGAAAGCACACCTCTGCTAATGTTTGGACAAACTCCTTTTAAACATCAAACTGATCGTATTGACCATCTCCATCATGTTTATTTTGAAACTTGATGTGATGAGCGAAGGTTGGATGGAACTAGGAAATTAAGAGCCACTGCACATTTATAAGGTATAAGCTATATGATAAAGTTTAGTGTACTTTGCAAGAGTCTATCAGGACTATAATGTACAAAATTAATGGTAAATGGCCTGTATTTATATAGCGCTTTACTAGTCCCTAAGGACCCCAAAGCGCTTTACATATCCACCCATTCACGCACACATTCACACACTGGTGATGGCAGCTACATTGTAGCCACAGCCACCCTGGGGCGCACTGACAGAGGCGAGGCTGCCGGTCACTGGCGCCACCGGGCCCTCTGACCACCACCAGTAGGCAACGGGTGAAGTATCTTGCCCAAGGACACAACAACCGAGACTGTCCAAGCCGGGGCTCGAACCGGCAACCTTCCGATTACAAGGCAAACTCCCAACTCTTGAGCCACGATCGCCCCATATCATATTGTATTAAATAAGACATGCAACTAGTGACTGAGAACATAAGCAGATCAGGAAAGTGTTTATTAAGGTCACAGAACAAGTGAGCAGTATGATAGTTTTCTCATTAACTTCTATGCAACTTGACATCTTTGTGCAGCTAGAAGTCCCCATCCCCTTTCTGGCCATCAGATTTTATGCATTGGCTTAACTTTTCATACAGTTATGCAATTTGCTAGATAAGCGATGGATGACTGGTTGGTTGATGGACAGATGGACAAGTTCAGGCAGTGTGTTTTCACATGAAGACTACTAAAGCGCTGATATATGAAGCATTTCTCATCTCATCTTACAATACACAAACAGCGGTGAGTGCATCCCGAGGTTTATCCACTGGACACCCTCTCAGGGACTCAACAGTGGGTCACAAATGAAACATTTACCACATTCTTACAAAACATCATAATATGACTCCACAGGAGGCACCGAGCAAGCAGCAAATATTAAAACAGAAAATGAAATGCATGTTTATTGTCAAACATGTGAGACGACCGTCTGAAAAATGCAAATGAAGCACTGTCTTTCACTCCACCGGGGTCCTAATGCCATAAGAAAAAGTCTATTAAGTTAGTATTGTGAGGACTATGTTCGTAAGTGAACCGTGCCTTGTGAGTCAACAGCAGCACATTATCCTAAATGACTTATTTTCACACGTTTAATCCCGATCTGTTCAGCCAAAGTATTCACACATACAGCTGAATTCAAAGCCTTTCACTCTGATATATGAACCTGCACGGAGCATATAGTGTCTATTATATACACTGTTTACACTATGTGAATAGCTTTTAGGTCTACGGCACACAATTTAAAGTCACTTTTGTCTCTTGAGGATTAAAATCAAGACAGAAGTAAACAGTCGACCTGTCTCTTCTTCTGCACGTCTGCTTTCAAGAGTGGATCTCGCTGCGTGTTGTGTGGGTGGGTGTTTGCTGGAGCTCCCAGCTGCTCACAGCGGGGTAAAGGACATCTGTTTGAACCATCACGCAACACAACAGCACCACGGCCAATGTTCGTGTTCTGTAAGGTGCTCTCTCCAACCTCCAGTAATTTATAACAGCAGATGTTACTGCAGACTTTCTTGATAAGCAGATAAGAACCATCCAAAGCATTTTTTGGATGCGAAACCTAATAAGGAGGTGACCACAGACGCACAGTTTGTAGGATAAAGGCAGAAAAACAAGTCTTCCCTGCAGACAGGCGTTTCAGATTGATGGTCTGCTTTCCTAACCCTCTTAAAATGCAACTCATTCATTTTTTACAGTATTGCGTTACCATTTTACCTGTGTTTTAATTACATCAAATCTGCCGAAATTGCGATGCACAATCTCAGCTTGCACAGCTGCACACATCTGTAAGACACGCATGAAAAAACCCCAAGTGTGACTGTACAACTTTCGCTGTCTAAGCTACTTTAAACTTAAAGCATGCACTATGACAAAAAAGGGGTTGAAAAAAGTTGATAAAATCCTGTCTGTGTTAGGAAACATGCCCTCTGTGAACTCCTGAGCACCATCAGCAAGGATTATATTGATCCGAGCATGCGTCTGTATGTTTATCTAGTCTTTGTGTTGCAGCATTTAGGGGACAGGTCGTGACAGGACTCTGACACCATGCAGGTAAATAAGTACGAGTGTGCAAACAGATGTGTGCCGGCACCTGCAGCACGCCATCAACTGCACCATACAGAGTGTATTATACCTGTGTCTAAAGACTTTTTTAACAAAACACAGCAAACTTTTTGGGCAGTCATTGACAAACTTGCTGACCAACTGGTTTGTTAAACAGCTTTGATGCAGAGTGTGTGCCCGCTGATAAATTTGTTGCCCCTGGGTGCTCAAAGAGATTTCTTCATCAAAGGGTCGATTGAGCAACTCCTGTACATTCTGCAACAATACACAGCAGATAAACCACAGATCAACGAGTTAAAGTCCAGCCATGATACTCATTTCCACATATTGTTATTTTTCTTGGAGTCTAGAGTCCAACACACATACACACACACACACACACACACACACACACACACACACACACACACACACACACGTATAAAATTCACAGTTTGAAATAGTAGTTAATAATATTACACTAGGTGTTCATGCAAGCCCTCAGTTCACCCAGTGATTGGTTTTGCTCCTCTCCTTTTCTAATCACCCCCACACTTTTTTTGATTGGCTGCCCCTCACAAACAGGAGGTTATGTGCTAACACTGACATCAGACTGAATTTAAAAAAAAAATGAAGCTACCCTTCCATGCCACCTCCATATCCACCACTGTAACAGTGGATAAGAGATAAATTAAAAAGGCATACTACACGCTGCTTAATGAATTGTTAAATCGAAGGGATGTTGCAGAGGGTATGGCGATTTGTTGGTGAACTCTTGGAGTTTGGAGAAAGGTGAAACTTTAAGGCTGTAGTTTCTAAAATGTGAGAGCTTCCTGGAGCTTTTCTTGGGTTTACATTAAATACAGCTTATTAAAAAATTTTGAACTTTATTATCATTTGTTATGGATTAGTTGGATGTCACAGTATTTTTGATGGTTTCATCATGCCTGTAACTCTGGCCTGTCTCATTCATGTATTAAAGCCAGTACAAGGTGACAGCAAAGTTAATTGACTATATATCCGTTTGAGTCCAGCCCATGCTTCCCCTCTACCTCAGAGGACATTGTGTTTTAACTCCCAGAGGAACTTTGATCCCAGACCTTAGGGCTCTATCTTTAGGTTAAAGGAGAAGAGGAAACAGGAGCTGCAGCCAGAGACGTCGGCTGGACTCAGGAGAGAGCACGTCAGACGATACAAAGGAGCCAAAATCAAAACACAAAGCATCATATTTCTAGTCACCTGGAAAGTTGCACATCCTTTCTTAGCCTTTGTTAATTAAAAAAAAAAAAAAGCAACAGCTCACATTTGTCAGTGCTGAATCTGGATCGGCTGTTTGAACTTTTCGAAAACAAGGTCATCCACTGGCCACAGATTGAAAAAAGAAATTTAAAAATCAGGCAGAGAGTAAACGTAAAAGCCACATCAGTCTTGCATCATCAAAGTATCTCTTTGCATTGCTGCACAGTGTGTGACATAGAAGCATATCTGGGGCTGCAGGGGGAAGCGTGCCTTCCAGTGTGCGTCTGCGGTTTAGTCACAACAGATGAAGACGTGACTTAAAGGAAGTTTATCTAGAGCTCACTCGCAATACAGCTCACTAAAGACAAGTGTGTGTGTGTGTTTTTGTGTCTGTGTGTGTGTTTTAAGAGAAAAGAGATACAAAGTTAGCCACAGTGTCCACTTCACTTATACTTTCTGCGCGATTGAATAACAAAGTTTGTTGAATCAACAGGCAACTGCACAGAGAGCTTCTTACACAGTTACATAACATTATAGAAATAAATGTTGGCAAATACCTCAGCTCGGAGTCTGCTATCCGGAGCATTTCAAGCTCTCGCTGCCGGAATGGACGCCTGTGCTTTATCAGAGGAGGAGGAGGAGAGAGCTGCTTCGGGCCTGGGACGCTCACGGATGCGCCTGCTGATCGGCTCTGCTGCCTCCCTCCCTGCCGTCAAAAACGTCATCCTCAGCAGGAAATAACGTAGAGAGGGACCGCAACATGGCGCACACACCTCCTGACACACCTATGGTTTCAACCAATCGGAACACGAGAATTGTGTGCGGGGGGGGGG